GTTTCTTCTGCAGCAAGCGCTGGCCATTCCTTGCAAGCAATATTCCTATTTAACCCCACCGTGAGCTTACCAAGATGTTTATTGTTTTTGTATTGGTTTGCTTTGAAGCTTTGGTTGTTGTTGCTATTGTTTGTTTACTGCATAGTCAGTCGCACACACACCATAAAGTTTGTTCTGTTGTTAAGTTTGTCTTTCTCTGGCGTTTAAAGATTCCTTTTTTGTTGGTTAGCAACACAATATAAAGCTCAGTGGTAAAGTTTGTTTGTTTTGGTTTTTTTTTTTTGGTTGAACTACACACTTATGCATAAATGGAATTCGACACTTTTCAAATTGCTTTCAAATGAAATACTTATAAAAATCATGTGTGTTTAACAAAGGAAAACATCAATATTACAATGAGAAGACACGTACGAACATGGATATTTGGATACTTGAATTTGAAGATTACATAATATATCGAGTGCTTAGGTAGAAAAATCATATTGGTACCAGAATTCAGAACATAAGAAAGTGGGATTTCAAAATTCTGCATCGGAAAGACGGGCAAAGAAAAGTCAATGCCATCATCATAGATTCGTGAATCATAGATTTGGTGTTCCATTTTTACGGACATTCGGCAGGCTGAAAAAGTGTTTCCTCCATTTTTTTTTTTTTAAATAATATTTATTTATTAAATCTGCTTCGTCAATGGAAGCCTTATTATAAGGCTTAAAAAAATCTTAAACTAAATTAAAACTTAAAGCCCAGTAGTAGAAATGGGCTACCGACTTGAAGTTGCTCTTTAGAAGGCCGATTTGTCTCTTCTTCGCGGGCGGATTTGACTTGTTGCATGGGTCAAGGTGTTAGCCAAAGGATTCGGATGGTTATACAATTTTATTAAGTATTTTTGTGTTGCATTTTCAATCTCTTCTTTGATGGTTTGTTTATTTAAATCTCTAAGGATATTTTCATTACGCATGTTCCATGGTGCGCTCGTTGTTACTCTTAACGTTTTCGATTGGAACCTTAGAATTATATCTACATTCGTCGCGCAAGCTGTGCCCCATAACTGGATTCCATATATCCATATCGTTTTTTTGTTGCATTATGTAACAGGACTTTCTTACTAAGGCTTCTTTAAAAGCCAGTGTAAACAGGCAGATTTGAAATTAATCTGCAGCTTTTTAGAAGCAATGCGTCTGTCCAAGTGGATTCCGAGGTATCAGGTGTACAACTTTGCTTCCGCCGTTTCCCGTTAGGTGGCTGTACCGGCTGAGGCTGGTTGAAATACATAGATGATAATGCCTTTAAAGTGAGTGTGGACAGTGCCTAACGAATTGTCATTGCCGTTTTAGTGACAGCTGTTCTTGTTTTCGTATTATTCAAGCTCGAAAATGTCCGTTTATGTGCCTAATTTTCGCCATTTGCGGGAAGTTTTATTTCTCTGTTACAATCCGAAAAGAAAAATGCAGCTGAAGCACATCGAATGCTCTCAGAAACTTACGGTGATCCTGCTCTGAGTGAAAGAACGTGTGGGGAGTGGTTTCAACGTTTTAAAAATGGTGATTTCGATGTCGAAGATAAACAAGGTGGTGGAAGAAAAAAAACCTTCAAATATGAACTACGAGCTCTTAAAACCGAGTGAAACCATCACAGGAGATCGCTACCGAATGCAACTGATGCGCCTTAGTCGCATGCTAAAAGAAAAGCGGCCACAATATCAAGAGCGACATGACGAAGTCATCCTCCAAAACGACAATGCTCGTCCTCACGTCGCAAGAGTGGTCAAAAAGTACCTGGAAACGTTGAAAAGGGAAGTCTTGCCCACCCGCCGGATGTCGCCTCTTCTGACTTCCACCTATACCGTTCGATGGCACACGGCCTGGCAGATCAACATTTTCAATCCTACGAAGAATTGGAAAAATGGATTGCTTCATGGTTAGCGTCAAAAGAGAACTCCTTTTTTCGAGCCGGGATCCGAAAATAGCCGGAAAGATGGGAGAAAGTTGTAGCTAGCGAAGGACAATACTTTGAATAATATATCTGTATGCACTTTTTCGCAATAAATTTTTTAATTTTGGAAAAAAAAAAACGGCGGAAGCAAAGCTGTACACCTGATAATTTCGTCAGCTTGCGGGATCGACACATTGTTGGGCATTGGGCACGTTTTTGGCCTGTGTAAAAGTGATGTGTTTGACCATGTTTTAATTAACTTTTATGCGCCATTTCGCTAGTCATTCTTCAATTTGTAATGGCCTTAGTATAGCAATATCATCCGCAAATGTTGAAGTAATTTCTTTGTCACAACAACAACATTGGTCCAAGAACACTTCCTTGCGGAACACCTGCCGTGATTAGATACCCTTCTGATATACTTGAATTTACTTTTACTGTGAATCGCCTGTTGGATAAGTAGGATTCAAGGATATTGTGAAAAGTATTGGGTAATGGTTTTTTTAATTTTATGAATGAGGCCATCATACCACATTTTGTCAAATGCTTGCACCGCATCAAGACAAACGGCTGAGCAATTCTCTCTTAATTCGAAAGCTTTCCTTATTTCATTTGTTAAACGATTTACTTGTTCAATTGTACCGTGTTTTTACCGAATACCAAATTGATGTGTAGGAATAATATCGTTTTGATAGAGAAAAGGAGTAGTTTTTGATAGCAGCACTTTTTCGAAAAGTTTGGATGATGACGGCAAGGTTGCGCCTTTACCTGCTTCAGCTATCATAATTATCTGCGCTTTTTCCATATTTGTGGTTATATCCTAACATTGAAAAGGCACTGAAAAGCTTTGCAAGAAAAACGAGAGCAATTCCTTCAGTATTTTTGTTGAGATATGATCGTCTCCAGGAGATTTTTTTTGGATTTAAGGATTTCAGGCACAGATACTCCGCAAGTAACCGTGTACCTAGGAGCAGTGTGGTTCGGTGACAAAGGTGCAGTATTTGTATCAGTATTTGATTGAAATACAGTACTGGGGTGCTCTGCAAAACAAGAGGCTCTTTCTGCACCCGTTCTGGCCCATGAACCATTACGTAGTCTCAACGGACTTCAGTGCTTACTGGCGGCATAAGTTTTTGCTAGCTTTCCATAGAGCTTTTTTAATAGAAACGTTGGGAGACTAAGACGTTATATGATTTTTAATATTTCTTTCTTGTTCGTATCTTAATGCTTTTCTTAGTTTGTTTGCCGCCATCTTAAGACGAATTTTTGCAACGGGAGATCGATAGGCTTGCCATTCGCGATGCAAGCGTCGTCCATGGATCTCCTCTTTGAGTCTATGGATTTCCTCTTTGAGTTTGATCCCATCTTGAAACCTTTTGTAAATCGCCGTAAGTTTTCGAGCATTACTCTTATCAGCAAGCTTATCAAGCTCTCAATATTCACGCATCTCAGCCGTTTTGCTACAGAAGTGCCTCGCTTCCCTCTGCAGCTCTCGGTATCTATCCCACCCGGCACATGTAGACGTCGATCGCAACGTTACGAGGTAGGCATCCTGCTTTCTCTTCACCCCTACCGACCTGTTTTTACAGCATTTTCGAAAACAAATAGTTCCTTTGCTTATCGTTCCTTGAAATATCGTCTCACAGTTCTTTTACACCGAATGAATTTTCTATATATCTTTTTCCGTATATCTTACTTTGTGGTCTTTGCCAGTCTTTAGTCTTACGAGGACATTAATAAAATGGCCAGCCTCATCCTTGCAATTAATTTGGATACTCCATGCACATGGCCTTAAGTCATAGTCCTTGTCATGTTTGGATAGGTCGCCTTTAAAAGAATTGTTTCCCATCTGAAGTGGTTTTAATTTTGTCACTGGAGCTGGTTTCTACGTGGTAGGTCCCAAGCCCAACTGACAACCTAGCCATGGGAGTAGGTTCAAATTTTTATACATTTATTTAGTGATCCGCTTACTTCAAGACCAACTGCCTCTCGCAGCTGAACTGTTGTCGAACACATTTGTGTTCTAGGAATATATAGAAAGTGGCGGATCCCACAAAAATGTATGGAATACCCGCTCTTGTTTTGTTGTCATCCCCCGCGTTTGGTTTGAAAAAAAAAAACGGATGAGATAAGAAATGTTGACAAACCATTAACTGCTCAAAACGGTATTTGCTAGAGGTGGTAGAAGTGTTATTTTAGACCGCGTCTCAAAAGAAGCAAGGAACAAATTTTACAAGTCACTAAACAGCGCAGCAGAAGCTTGAACATTGTACAAGCAATATATACTAGAATGCTACCATAGGGAGTACACCAATCAACAAACAGACACTTATCTGATGCTGAACCACCACCTAGGCAGAAAGGGAAGTACTCGAATTTAAGGATTGCATTCAGTACCACTTGCAAGAACCAATTTCATTAAAGACCGTCAACACCTTTCTGAACTCTCTTCCAGTCAACGGCGTTCCCGCAGTCAAGCCACATCCCATTGTTGACGAAGAACTCAAGCTGCCTCGGGAGCCCCGCGTAATACTAGCACAATTAAGAACTGGATACTGAGCTCCCCGCAGGATACTAACCAACACTTTGCATGCTCCTTAACATCAATTCTTCTTTGTATTCCTTTGGACCTATTCCGCCGTCTTTTGGTCCTATTCAGCTCGTTTCCTGGACTTCCCCTTAGATTACCTTGACGACGTAGACTGATATTGCCTAGTGAACCGCTACAACAACAATACATATTTACTCTGATAGTGGGCTCATATACATGAAACTTAAGGACGGCACAAATCGATCCGGCAGTCACTTTGTTCGTCCGTTTGTCGGTAATTTTAGGACACACCAGTGTTGTGACTTGTTTCGAACTTCGATTCAATTTCCCCCTAGTCTCTTCAATTAAACCTTTTTACATTGAAACCACAATGACATAACTTCCACAATCCCTTATTTACACCTAATATGAATAAGAATTTGGTATAAAACGTTTGGCTCTTGCCGAATTAAATCTTCCTTATTTGATTTCATTACATTTCATTCGCACTACACCCTTTGAGTTTTCAAACACTTACCTGACTTTTCATCGGATCCGTATTCAGCTGACACATATAACCGCCACGATCCTCTTCCGACACTGCCTTTATATGCAAATTCCATGTATTCTGATCCAAGTGACTAACACTGACACGTGGATTGTGTGTGATGACATTCTCGTGTATCGCCTGAATGGCTTTTGTGTCCGCTTTCAGCCAGCCAACCTGATAGCGGTGTCGCGCAGCCAAGTACAAGAGAGCATTCGTTGTTAGCACAAATGACAGTGAGAATAGCAGCAAAGTGGTTGATGTTCATTGGAGGCAATTGTAGCAGTCAACAGCAATTGTAGTTGTTTAATAACGGTTTTGTTAGTGATTTGTTGATGAAAAGAGATTTTGCAGTGTCGAGTGGATGTTCGTGTAAGGAAAAATTGCAAAAAAACAAAAAAAAAAAATCAAAGACTGTTAGTTGAAATTTCTAAATATTTATAAAAACATCAGTAGCTGTGTACGAAATTAAATGATTAATTTAAAGTAAATATATTGAAAAATATATGTAATATATTTTCCTTAGTTTCATTTCTGTTTTTCACTCACTCTGTAACCACCTAAATGTCGCACGTGACATGTGAATGTGGCATCTCTACCTACAGCTACCGAGACATTGGATATGCTCTCCACGAATTCCGGTTGAAAGGTAAGGGTTTCTGTAAATAAATGGGTAAATATTATGTGACTCAGGCACAGATTCGAACGAACAAACAATATCACATATAATTGATATAAAATTCTAGCTTCGGTCGCCACTCGTCTGGGCAGGCTAACCCTTCCGAGTGTATTTAAGGAAAAAAATAAAAATAAAAATAAGAGCTGTTTCAGAAGAACTTGCTTTTATCCACAGTAGTATGCCTTAAAACTTAGATCGTTTACTACATTGTTTTTTTTTTTTTGAAGACCTCGAATAGAGCGTTGCCTACCGAGCTGCCTCTACGCAGTTATATATTTCTGAACTTGGTATTCCAGCAAAACTTATACTACTGTATGAACTGACGCTGGTGGGTTTCAGTCTTTCACACAATACGCTCCACAAGACTTTATAGGCGATATTAAGGAGGCTTATCCTACTGTAATTGGCGCAGACTGTGGGGTTCCCTTTTTTATGGATTGGGCAGAGCACACTTAAATTCCAATCGTCGGGCATGCTTTCATCCGACTATATTCTGCAAAAAAGCTGATGATGAATAGTTATGCCGATAGGCCATTAGCTCCCTTTTTGTTTTTTAAGCGAGCGAATGCTATTCGAACTTCTTCATGGTCAGGTAATTTATTGTTTTTTACATCATAATCGATTGGGGGCTTGGTGTTCACCATCTCCGGATTCTCCATTTACTCTAATATTCAGTAGGTTATAGAAGTGTTCCCTCCATAAATTCAATATACTCTGGGCATCGGTGGATAGATCACCTCTTTGTGTCCTACAAGAGTCTGATTGAACCTTATCAGTGTGGCTTCAGACGTGGCAAGTCAACCATTGACCAGATATTCACCATGCGAGAAATCTTAGAAATGACCCGTGAACAGAGGATCGACACACACTACCTCTTCGTCGATTTTAAAGCCGCCTTCGATCAGACGAACAGGAGCTGGCTCTATGTCGCTATGTTTGAATTTGGTATCACCGCAAAACTTCTACGGCTGTGTAAGCTGACGCTAGACAACACCAGAAGCGCAGTCAGAATTAGGAAGGAAAGAAGCAAAGCGAATGGGTCTGGTAGTGAACGAAGACAAGACGAAATATCTCCTGCCATCAAACAAACAGTCATCGCATTCGCAGTCATATCTCCTCCCGACGAACGAAAATCAAACTCTACAAGTCACTCATCACTCCCGTCTTAATATATGACGCAGAAGAATAGATGATGTCGACATCCTATGAGGCGATCTTAGGAGTCTACGAGAAAATGGTTTTACGTAAGATATATGATCCTGTACGAGTTGGGAACGGTGAATACCACATCCAATAGAACGATGAGCTGTACCTTCGTAGGGAAGGTTCTGGATGTACTTGGTATTTCCAACTGACCCAAAGAACGAAGAGAAGAACCGGGTGGCGAGCTATTGTATCCACGCTAATGAAGGTGATATTTCTTTAAACTTTCCAGCTCATTTTTTAATGAAAGCTAATACTCCTTATGCCTTATTGGCACAAGCATGTAATGTAATTAGGAGGTTGTGTTGATAAAAAATATTGCAAAAATCATTTAACCTTCATAGAGTAAGTATAACCAATGGGTTTTATATGTAATATGTGTATTGATAACTTCGTCCTGTTATTGCCTGATTTTTCTATTTTTCTCACAAATGGAGTGACCGAGGCCACCTTAGGCCTAGGTGCCTCGCGATATATCCAATCTACCTACCCACCTACCTAAGTCGCGTAAGTTACTTAATTTATATTTTTCCTTCCTTCAAATACGCTAAGGAGAGAGAGGCCCAACTGTTTACAGTTAAAAAATGTATATTTACAAACCCATTTTAAGAAAGAGAGAAAAAGAGAGAGAAAGAGAGAGAGAGAGAAAGAAAGAATCCTCTCTCTCTCTCTCTTTCTTTCACTTTCTCTTTTTCTCTCTTCCTTCCTATTTTTCTCTCTTTCTTCCTCCCTCTCTCTTCCTTTCCTCTCTCTCTCCCTTCCTCTGTCTCTCTCTGTTTATAGAAATCTTTTTCTTTCTTTTTCTCTATCTCTCTCTCTTTTTCTCTTTTTCTCTCTTTCTTCCTCCTTCTCTCCCTCCTTCTCTCTCTCCTTCTCTCTCTCTCTCCCCCTCTATCTCTCCATCTCTCTCCCCCTCTATCTCTCCATCTCTCTCTCTCTCTTTAGGATTAAGTTCGGTTTAAATAAAATTTTTAATATTCCACCGTATCGGCTAGATGAAAAGCTGGATTCAGTTGGGTTATAGATTACTAAATTATGAAGTTTCATATATACATACATATATATGTGTATGAGTATATCGATTACTTTATGCCTTTACTGACAATCGTTAGCCAAACAAACTTGATATACCCAGTGAAAAATGTACCTTAGAATATGAAAGTTACTTGGCTAACAGTAGAAGCTGAAGCAAATCCAGAGTCGCCACAATTCGTGTCAGTAACGATGACCTCACATCACTTACTCAACTGCAACGTAGAGACCTCAAAGCGTATGTATTTGAATACATATGTATTGTGCATATAAACAGGGAAATATACACAAACACATATATTCCGAACATATAACAAATACACCTAAGTACATAACAAATTTACCTACATTTGCAAACTACTATACGTAGTGTGTTGCCAGTTATGCTGCTGCAGGCGTTGCAGGTTGCAATTGCGAGGCGAGTACAACTCCATGCACAGCAATGCCACAACTGCTGAGCTACGGATTATGACAAGTAGATAAACAGATTGACAAACAAGTCTCAACACTGGTGGGTACTAAGAAGGGCGAGAGGTCAGTCGACAAGACGATGTGGCAGAACGGCAAGCAAGAAACTAAATAATACAGTACGAAATAGCACAAACAAACAAACAAAAAAAAACCTACCGCAAGTAATTCAGTAGCGGAAGTGTGTGGCAAAGGAAGTGCGTTTGAATGATGTGAAGCGAAGAGTGTCGACGACGACTGACGTCAGCAGGTTAAACAATCCAAACACGGCCGCAAACAGCAAACATACATATGTTTGCATAACTGTTAGTTTTGATATGTGTGTAAATACATAATATACAATAATACGCAATGAAGGAAATTGAAATTAAATTTTAGTCAACAGGGCGTATGAGTAACCCAAAGATGCTGGAGAAAAATTATCAGCCGGTAAAATGTATACTAAGGGTTTTCCAATGCTATTGCGGTAGATGCAACTTTTGCAGCTGCAATTTTGTTTCGATATTTCACAAGTTAAAACTACGTCGGCAATCAAAACGGAGCGATACACGCTTCAACAAGGCATTGAAATGACTAAAATTTGCTATAAAATGGTGAAAAATTGGTAGAGATGGTTCGTAAAGATAGAATATTTTTCTGTCGTCGGACCGCAACAAAGAAATTTCTTGAAAAAAATGGAGCTGTTGAGACAGGCTGGTGATGTGAAGAATAAAACACGTCCACTCTGCACGAGATCAACTGAAAAAGTTGCGGCTGTAGCAAAAAGTGTTGAAGAAAACCTTTGCCCATTCCTCGAGGCTCTTTGGAATTGGCCATTCCACAGACATCACCACACCCTATTTTGCATAAAGGCTTGGTTTTTAAGGCTTGCAAAGTTCAGTTAACACTAGAACTGAAACCGGTCAATCACCAACAACGTCGTGCCTTGACATTGCTGATTGAGTGCTTGAAGGTCATGAAAATTGTCTGGAGTTTTATCGAAAAATGATCTTGATTGAAAGGAGTGAAGTTTTATAATTTTTTATGGCTGGAATTGGAAGGCACTGAATTGTTTCATGTGAGCTGTATAACTTGTGGCCTTGCCTTGTTGAAACCAGATATTGACTACATATTGATCACCAGTAACAGTCACTGTTTGAACAATCTAATTTTCACGAGAGTATGGTACAATTGTGACTCCAATCCAAAATCCATACTCTATAGTGACATGTTTTGGATATATTATATTTTTTTACGACAACCACTCTCTGTTCTCAAAACCTCAAATTTGACAATTTTGACAATTTACAAACATATCGAGGTGGTATCGAGGTATCGAGCTTCGAAAAAACGGGACCCTCTCCTTGATGCTGAATAATCCATTTAACAAACTCTCTTCATTGTGCACCTCAGTTGCTGTGTTTTTTTTTTAATTTTGTATATTTTGCATGAATACACAGATCTTTAGTGAGTATATGCTCCAGAGAGCTTTTTGAAATTTGAAACTCTTGCCCACGACGCAGAATAGAGGTTCGTAGACTATCATCAACTCTCTTATGCGCTGCTCCCATATTGTTATTTGAACAACCTGTTTTTGAATAACCAGTGAATTTGGCATCTCCAACGGTTATTGTCTCTCGTAACTTTTCAATTCATCACTTCACAGTTGACAAAGTTAAAACACCGCCAAGCATTCATTATTTTCGAAATACACGCTATTCAATCTCTATTTTTACTAAGCCTAAACTGTCAGCTGTCGAGTTTTTTACAAAAACTAATTTCTCAGGAAATCACTGAAAATATACGGTGCCTTTAACGTGGAATGGAATTTATCGTCTCATAAATGCAAATTTACAATGTTATCTGTTTTCGTCTTCCCATCCCCACACTTCAAAGAGTTATGATTGACGTCTGGACATCGGGAGACAAGATCAGTGAGTTTCGCCAAATTTTCTATATAAGTCACGCGTCACCAATTTTCTATAGCAGTGAAGGAAGTGAAAGATTTAAGCGAATTCACCAGCTCCATTTAATTGAACTTTCCCGGAAGATAAAGGAGCTGTAGTAAAACTTAATTATATACCGCAATCTGCTACGAAAAAGAACCGGCGAGAACAACTCGGTCCAGCTGTTGTGGCGCAGCTGTAATTGCTGGTATAAAAATCTACATAAATCGAAATTACCGAAAACATATAAACAATGCAAGAGATTAATGCATATTTGTGCTTTCATACGTGTATGAATACACTTTGATGTTATTATTTTTAATATTCGCATTTTTGTATGCTCATGGACGAT